GCAACCATTAGTATCCTATGCTGCAGCTCCACATCTCTCTGGGAGTATGCTTCTTGCCATGAAGACATTTCCATTACCTGAGATGCATCCAGGCACCTATGTCTAATCCTGGAATACTGGACTCAGTTCACACCTGGAATACTAGATTCAGTTTTGGTCCCTGCTCTACATGTGGACAGGCTGGAGAGGGTCCAGAGAAGAGCCACAAAGACCATCCAAGGACTGAGAGAGCTGGGACTGTTCAGCTGGAGAAAAGAAGGCTCAGGGGAGACCTTATCCCCATGTTCCAGCATATAAAGGATGACTACAGCGAAGATGGAGACTCCCTTTCGACAAGGAGTCACATGGAAAAGAGGGGTGACGGGCACAAGTTACTGCTGGGGAGATTCCAACTGGACAGAAGAGGAAAACGTTTCACCATGAGAACAATAAGCCACTGGAACAATCTCTTCAAGGAAGTGGTGGATTCCCCAGTGTTGGACACAGATTTAAGATTCATCGGGACAGGGTGCTGGGACATCTAGTGTAGGTCATGCTTTGCCTAGAAAGGCTGGAGCAGGTGATCCCTATGATTTTACGATTCCTGATCCTGAAGCAAGCTGCAGTTCAGTTCTTCTTGCTGGCTCAGGTCCAGGCTAAGAAGCAGTCCCTGTCATGACACTTGCAACTCCCCATCTTCTGAAAGAGCAGGCGATCGCCTCCGTTCCCCATCCCATGTCCACCACAAACTGTTTCGCTGTGTTTTTTCTCACAAATCACCAATTCCCATCGCTTCAGATCTGGCTGCAAGCTTAGCTCCATCAGAGGTCCCATCTCCTTGGGGCTGTCAGGCAGACATCAGGCACCAAAAATAGGTATTTTTGACCCTTGCTGAAGGAAGGGGAGGTTGGAAGGTGTTTTATGCTCTCCTGCCTGATATAACCACTGGTGATCTCCACCCCAGGAGCTCCTGTACTGTTGTTCACAGTTACTCATGCCAGAAATACCAGCCCTATGCGCTGCTGTTCATTTTCTCATCTTAACCCCAAACTTGAATTCCAAATGTTATTACTTTGTACAAGGAAGATGGGTGATGACATCCAATAAAACTGGATTCCTGGCAAGTTAAACGATCCTAAGCTGGATCTCAGCCCGAGGGCTTTCATGCTGGGTAGGTTTTCTCTGTGCAAAGAGGTAAATACTGCAAGGATGTGTGGAGACATCAGTCAAATGTTATGGTGAATCTGAACACAGCTAAGAAGGAATTACATAGTATGGAGAAGGAAAGCTTTCTTTGGGCATTCATCCCAGTGCTGTGAGGCATGGGAGCATCTCCTGCTTTATGTTTTCTTCTCCTTTGTCCAGTTTACTTTTACATTGCAAAACAATGGGGTTTCCATAGCGTTTGGGATGCAATGAAAGCGTATTAGTGTTTCCCCAACAAAGAAACCTTGTGTCATGTGAAGTCTTCCCCCTCCTGAGGCAGTTTTGTCACAGATGACTTGCATACCTTAAAACCACTGGCTTCTTGTCCTGCTCTTTCACAATCTTGGATAAATATTGAGCTGGGACACAGAAACCGGTTATACATGAATCCGTGCTAATCAATATCAAGATTATAGACTGACTTAAGACCGTGAGATTTATAATAATAATAATAATAATAACAACAACAACGAATTTCAGAGTAAATTCTTCTCTTTTTGTTCCCATTTCTCAGGCAGATGTGCAGACCATTCCCCAAAGGGTTTCTCTGCACCTCTAAACATGCCTTTTCATGCTTGGAGCTGAAAGCCAAAGCCTTTACTTAATTTCCTGACCCCATGATGCTGGCACTTAGGCAAACCTCCATAGCTGGGCCACTTGTGATAAAGCTCCCTGTTGGCAGTGCCACATATCTTTGGGTGCAGAAGAGTGTTCACCTCTTTCTGTGAAGCCCTTTTTGACATCCCCAGAAGCACAGTTTCCAGAGTTAGGGCTTTTTCTGACCTTCCACCCCAGCAGATGGTTAGGAGTGGGATATGCTTTAATAGACATCCAGATACTGAAGCAGTCATGTTAAATATCCCTTTCTTTATTCCTGCAGCTGCTCATGATTCACAGTCTCGATCTGACACCCTCTTAGTAATTATCCCCTTTGCAGCAGAGACAAGAGGCAGATTCTGAGCCGACACAATCGAGCAAGGCAGCAGAAAATAATGTGAGTCCCTTCTGCTACCCCTTGGAAAGGGAGGTTTAGCCCCATAGAATCATGGAATCAACAGATCAGCTAGGCTGGAAAAGGCCTGGCAGTGTTCACAGCCAGGTTGGATGGGGCTTGGAGCAACCTGCTCCAATGGAAGGTGTCCCTGCCTGTGCCAGGGGTTGGAACCACATGAGCTTTAAGGTCCCTTCCAACCAAACCCTTCTGTGACTCTGTGACCCTTAAGACCATCACCGTGTTTCTGGATGAATTGGTGTTCCCAAGAAGTGGATTTTGTGCTGTTATTTTAACCACTATGGCAATTGCCAGCAACCAAGGCTGGCACAAAGGGAGGAGCTGCAGTCAGAAAGGAGGCTGGAGACCCTCAGGAGACAGCCCTGCTGAGTGAGAAGCAATACCCAGCACAGATGGCAGAGCTGTTATGATTCCAGTATCCAGTGATAACCACAGAGCCCTCAAAGGAAGCTTTCTGCACAGCATCCTCCCTCCCCTGTGGCGGCTGTGCTCTCCTGCTTGTATCTTTAGGCAAAAGGAGGTCCAACAAACATGCTGAGAGCATCCCTGTTGAGAACTGACAAAACTCCCTGTGTAAGTGGCAGGGTGCCTCTTGTGATAACTTAAGAGGAAACCTACAGCCCAGATCAGCGATCTAAAAAGACTTCACGCATCAAATGCTCGGATTCCCTCCTCCCTGCCCAAGGCAAAAGGACCAGCACTGCTGATGGGACCAGCCAGATGAATTTCTTCTCCTCCTAACTCTCAGCACGATCATTGCAGCCTAAAACCAAAAGCCATTGAAGCCAGCCTGATTTTTAAGTGGATTTCAGGCCATTCTGTTTCCCATAGATCTATCTTAGTTGCTGCCAAGGGAGCTCTGCTCCTGTCCTTACCACAGCCCTCACTCAACATGAAGACCCAACACACTTTAGGGAGCCCCAGTTTCCCAGTCACTGTTACCCCACAGCAACGTGCCATGGGCTATTTTTGCAGTGTATTATGGGTGCTGGTGCAATAAACAGAGCATCACTTCCCTCCTCTCCATCCCAGGGACACTGTTATACTGATGCAGCTCAGGTTTTTCCCTAGGCTGTCTTGACTTGGCACTTAACACCGAAACGTGCTGACTGGGAGAAAGTGTGTGCGTGTAGGTGTGTGGGGAGGGGGGAAATGTGATCTGTTATTGAGAACATTGCACAGGGATAGAAAGAACTGCCTCTCTGATGCTGGCAAGATTAATAATGTGCACCAACACATTCATTCATTGCACTCGAGTTTCATGGCTTTTAGCTGGTGTGTAATGCAGAGTCATCGCAAGGGGAGGTGAAGCTGGGCTGAGGGACACGAAGAGTCTCATTGCACTGACCCAGAAGCTAAAATCAGGACAAGAAGCCTTTAGTGGGGACAACACTCAAAGCAAGGGCTGAGCCAGCTAACCCAGGCTTCCCACCAGGTCTCCTCTAGGTGACCTTGCAACAAGAAGTCAGCCCATCTTTAGCCAAAGGCATCAAGAAAACCACCTTTGGACAGTCCCTTTTGGGAGTGAAGGGTGATTTTACCACCCCTGGGCCCATGCTGGTTCATGGTTTAGCTGGTGCAAGGAGGAGGATCCAATGCAAAACCCTGAGCTTATTTTTAGCCCCCTCCTAGCTGCAGTGAGTGCTCCTTGCCTGAACACAGATAAAGGACTTCCAGCACCCTTCTCTCTTGCCACAAAGAATGCAATGATGTGAGGATAATCTTGTCCTTAGTCCTTTGGGCATGTTGTTTCCTTCAAGCCATTCCCAAACTTTTCCTGGAAAACATCTTAGGCAAATGCACATTAATTTATTTAAATGGTATTTAAAAGCAGGGTGAGAATTGCAAATCAAAGCCAGCTGAAAATCCCAAATCCACCCCCAAATGTCCATCCTGATAAAAATCCCAAATTTCCTCCACGCCGGTGGGAGCCCCAAGCTGATCCCCGAGTCCCCATCCAGATGAAAATCCCAGATCCTTACCCATGTGAGTGGGAATCCACAATCAACTCAGAAACCCCCATCTCGATGATAACTCCCAATCCCTCTCAAGTCCCAACTCTGTTCGAAACCCCAAATCCCCCACAAATGCAGGCGGGAATTCCAACCGCCCCAAACCCTCAGCCCAATAAAAATCCAAAATCCAACCTCAACGAGATCCCCAAATCCACCATCCCATTCCAGGGGGGGAATTCCATGGAGGAATCCCACATCCCCCCCCCCCCCAAAAAAAAAAAACAACAACCAAACCTCCCACCCTGGTTAAACCCCCAGATTCCCCCATGCAGTTGAGAACCCCCCACTCTCCAAATCCCCATCCTGATGAACATCCCAAGCCCCACACACAGTTAAGAACCCCAAATCTCCCCTAAATCCTCATCCCAATGAGCATCCCAAATCCCCCCCCCCCCCAAATCCCACATCCCAACGAAACTCCCCAAATCCCTCCAAACCTCCTACCCTGATGAAAACCCTAGAAAACCCAGGACCCACCCCAAGAAAACCTCAAAATCCCCCCTTGCAAACAAGAACCCCAAATCCCCCCCCCCCCCTCAAGTCCCCATCCCAACGAAACCCCTTAAACCCCCATCCTCCCCATGCACTTGAGTACCCCAAATCCCCCCCCCCCCCAAACCTCATCCCATGAGGGATGCGCGTTCCCCTTGGTGCCCCCTCAACCTCTCACCCTCCCTCCATCTCCCCCCTTCTCCCATGGGGCGGAGGCTGGGGCGGGCCGGGGCCGCGTTGTCCCTCCCCCGACAGCGGGAGAAGGCGAATGGGGCGGGGAGGGGGGACCGGGACCGGGACCGGGGCCGGGGGAGGGCAGAGCCCGCCCGCCCCGCCGGGATTGAGCCGGGAGCCGCGCTGGGGACGGCACCGAAGCACGATGCGGGCACCGCTGCTGCTGCCGCTGCTGCTGCTCGGTAAGTGCCGCCCGGACCCGCCTTCCGACATCCCTCGCCTCTTCCCCTTCCCCTCTTTCCCCCTTTACTACTCGGTAGCTGGGAGCGAATAGGGTGGAAAGGTGGAAAAGACACTTCATACACACCCGCTTTGTGAATCCAGGCTTATTTACCTGCTTATTTACAAGCTAAGCGCATCGAGCAGTCCGCAGCAGCTCAACTTGAGCCTCCAGAGCCGCAGTGCTTTGGTTCTTTACGCAGCGGTGTGAGCTAAACACGCCGCTTCTTCGCTCCTTCATCCGGCTTCACAAAGCCGCTGGGCAGGGGTCGATGTGCAAAGTGCTGAGCTTCACGCTCATCTTTTGGGGTCCTATGGAGCAAAAAGGGGGGGGGATCTTTGGTTGGGTTTGATGCGTCCACTTTTGTGTGGTCCGGTGTGCCAAGTGCTGTGTGTATTGAATGTGAGCTCTCACCCCTGATAGCGTGGGAAAAGAAGGGAGGGAAAGCTGGTGGGAAACAGCAATTCCCTGTTGGAAGTTGATGGTGGAATTGGAAAAAGGATAAACTTCTGGAGACCCTTCAGTGTGGGGTGGATGGGGACCCATGCAGGATGCGTCATGCCGGGGATGTTTGGGAATGGCGTTGGAAGCAGTGTGTGGGGTCCTGTGATAGTGCTGGGGTTAAGGGAGCTGCAGGTGATAAGGGTCTTGTTCTCTGGTGGGGTGTTGCATTGGAGAGATTACCATAAACTGTGCCAAAAAGGAGCAGGGAAAGGGAATGCAGTGATTGTTTCCAAAGTGAATAAAGGTAGGGAGGAGAGGGGTATTTCTTTTCTATATCCAGGGAAGATGAGGGAGGGGGGAAATAGGGAATAAAATAGGATGGAATAAAATAAGATGGAGTAAAATAGGATCTATGTTTCTATGAAGTGAAATAGGATGGAGTAAAATGGAATGGATAGCGTAGGATGGAGTAAAATAAAATGGATAGCGTAGGATGAAATAAAGTAGGATGGAATAGAGTGGGATGGAACAGAATAGGGTGGACTAGGATGGGATGGAATAGAATAGGATGAGATGGAACAGAATAGGATGGAATAGAATAGGAAAAACTGTAATGTAATGGAATAGAATATAGTAGAGTAGAATAGAATCACTGCCTGTCTGGTTTGTTCCTGCTCCTCCCAATGCCAGGGCATGGTGGAAGAGCAGGTGGGAAGTGCCCATCTCTCCCTGATGTCAACTTGGGCTTTAAAAGAGGAGGTTTCTGTTTGTATTAAAACTTAGGAAGCCTCAACCTCATCAGTGTTGGCATAAAGTAGGGGCTGCTAATGCAATTTTGCATGTGCTGGCCAAAATTTAGCTGAGTTTAGCTGACTTTGCCTACTCAGATGGTTTTGTTCTTCAAAATAGGCTGGAATTGGTACGAAACAGGCTTTAAGCAGGAGGGTGGTGGTGGGACCTGCTTCTGTAGCACTCCCAAATGATCCTATTACATTTTTCTCGGAAATTAATGTATTAAATCCTTTGAAACAGTGTTTTCTGCCACGTGTTGCTGCTCTGAGGTTTCAAACCAAGCTCCTTAGAGGTGCTTTTTTGCCCCCTGGCTATTGGCGACAGGGTTTTCTTCCTTAGAGACCCAAAATAGGCACCCCTTTTTGCTGGGTGGTAGGGGTTGGAGTCCAGCAGTGTTTAACTGTAGGGCTGGTATCTGCTGCAGTCGTCTGAGCTACTCAAAGCCTAAAATTCACCTGCTAAAATGGGGAGAAGCTGGGTTTGCAAGTGGAACTGTAAGATTTGGGGTATCTTAATAGTAATTGGCATGGAGTCCTCATGATTTGGATGCGAAATGGGTGCGTGAGCAGGGAGCTGGGATTTCGGAGCGTGGTTTTGGGTATCATGGGGAAGAAGGTAACAACAGAGCAGCCTCAACAGAAGGCTGCTAAAGTTCTTAAGAGCAGGTATTTGGGGTACAGCTACTTCACTAGAAACACCAGCTCCCAGGTTTGTACCTGAGGAGGTTCTCCCTTTATTTCCCTGCTGTGAATCAGAATGGAACCAGGCTCAGAGAAGTCACAGCCGGTGTGTACGAGAGGCAGCAAACATGACATGGGGCAAATAACATCTTTAAATTCATCCATTACAGCGTGTTCACAGGACGTTTGATCCTATTTGTTCTTTCTCCATGCATCATCTTCTATCCCACACAGGGTATTTTGGCCAAATTGCATCAGCAAGAGGAAAAAGGATACCTTTTATTCTCAGGGGGTTAAGAAGAGCCACAGCTCCAACCTGTCCTGGGGGCAGAAAAAGGCAGGATGGGGGTTTAACCAGAGCTCAACCCTTTGCCCAGCTCAAAGCAAACAGATTGATGGGGTTTAAATCCTTGTTGCCAAAACACTCCTTTTCATTCCCAAAGCTGTGCTGGCTCCGGGGTACTGGGAGTTGTGTTTGTCCAAGACACGCTGTCAAAGATGTGCATTTTTAAACCCCATTTTATCCACTGAATACTAATCTTGACACGGGCAGGGGAAGGCAATTGGGGCCATGCCTGCAGGAGGAGAAAAACCATTGTTAACCAGAGGGTTTTAAAACCAGCATCGAAGCAGAGCATATCTCCTTATGGATTTGCTGTTGGAGGAACTTCGATAAGGCTTTTGCAACCTTTTTGTGAGCTGTCTTAGCAGTGCAGCGCTTTGATTTTCCCCAGTGGTGAAGCAGACACAGTAACCATACCCCGGGGTCTGTTTAAAAGGCTTAATTAAAGAATTGTTTGTAAAGCACTTGAAGATCCTGGGATGAAAGGAGCTGGAACCATGCAAGACACTGATTTAATTCCGGAGAGTTGCTTTAAAGGCTTATGAGGAGGAGGATGGTGATCATTCATGTTGTCATTGATGGGAGACTGGCTGGAAATATCTGCTCTCAGCATTTGCAGGGAGGCTGGGGTTGTGCTTGGGTTATTATTTGCCCTGTAAATCATGCATTTTCTCTTCCCATCTGCACCCTCTGAAAGACCTAAGCCTGTTGACATGAGTTCTGGGATGCTTTGGGGTTCAGGCAGTGGAAACTGATGGAGGTTGATTATAGCCAGCGAGGGTCCCTCAGGCTGTGCAATAGCCCCCCCCCTGTTATTCTGGGTGTTATATCGCTGTACAAGAGCTGAGAGGAGATGTTTGGGGCTAGGTGCAGGACCCCATTCATCCCACCTGCTCATGCCTGCCCTGAATTTTGCCCCTTCTCCGTGATAGTGGCTGGGTGACCCCTTTGCCCCTTCTCTAAGGACCCACTGCAGCAGCCAGAGCCCTGTGATACTCGCCTGGGCCAAGGAAGGATGAGGCAAATGCGGCTTCATCCTTATAGGGTGATGCTCTGGGGAGATGAGATCTTGCTGTAAAATCCCAGATTGGTTTGGGTTGGAAGGGACCTTAAAGCTCATTCAGTTCCAACCCCTGCCATGGGCAGGGACCCCTTCCACTAGAGCAGCTTGCTCCAAGCCCCTGTGTCCAACCTGCCCTTGAACACTGCCAGGGATGGGGCAGCCACAGCTTCTCTGGGCACCCTGTGCCAGCGCCTCAGCACCCTCACAGGGAAGAACTGCTGCCTAATATATAGCCTAAATCTGACCTTTTTCATCACATCCAGCTGAGCTGCTCTGTGCTTCTCTAGCCCCAAGCCCGGTTGCATTCAGTAACTACATCTCCAAGTGGTCCAAGCAGTAGCAGGACCAAGCACATAGTGAACAACGCACCCATGGGGGCACAAAAATCCTTCCTTTCCTCCTGTTGATCTGATGGGGAACGAACACATGGGCAGAAACATGCAGCCTGAGCATCCACCTCACCTTCAGTCTTGCTCCACAGCCAACCTCAGCGTCACGAGAGGGCTTGCCCTTTACAGGAATCCGGGTAGCCCAGTTTGGTCCATTCCCCGTGTGCAGGCATGTGAGATCTCACAACCCATCTGAAGCCGTTTCACATACTTCTGCCAACTTCCTTCTCGAAAGCCTGTTGACGTGCACAGCTTCTCCCATAACTGGCCAACCTCCACCTAAGGATGTTGTTTTGGAATTCTTGCAATGCCTGCCCTTTCCTTCACAGAGAACTGACCCAGCCTGGCTTTTTTTCACTTCTAAACCATGCAGTCATCTGGCATTTGTGGTTCTCCAGCTACCTGGGCTCAGCTCACCACTAACCCCGGTGCTTTGATGCATTGTCCACATTGCAGAGATGCAGTGGTCTTGGGATTGCAAATTCACTCTTCAACCCACTACTCCTTGTCCTACCACTACAACCCCTGATGAAGAGACTTGTAGCTTGTGAGGCAACCAAGCTCAAAACTAACTCTGCATGGGGGCCTTGCAGGTCCTGCTGCACAATGGGGTTGGGGGATGCACAACCCATCTCCCCCAAAACCTTTTCCACATGCCATTGGGGCTTAACCTTAAAAAAGAGCCCATCTTTTCCCCCAAACTTCCTGGTGTGATGGTGTCCCACACCACGGGGTGAGGTGCTTTCTCCTGCTGCTTCTTCATTCTTTGGGAGGGATGGGGACAGCTCATCTGTGCTTTGGTAGGTGCCAACAGCTCTAACTGCATGTTTGTGTGTTGTAGGCTGGGCTGAAGCCTTGTGGTGCTTTGCTCAGGAGGTCCTTGAGGAATATGGAGATCCAATTAAAACAGAGTAGAGGCAGGAGGGATGTGCTCTGCCCATGCCACAGCTCCAGTTTCAAGGTGTCTAAGCATTGGGATTAGCTTTTACCTGGAAATGTGTTACTTTTGAGCTTAACAGTCCTGGTTGAGAAGGTAGACAGAGCCGAGGAGGCAAAGATGATCTTCCTTGTTACTGTACTTAAATCATATATGATATGCTATGAACCAAAGAGCTGAAATGCTGTTTAAAGGACTGGCTGTGCCACAGTTTCTCTCTCTATTTTGCATGCATCTGTTTATACTGTGTGCTGTTTGGTGGAGAGACCATGTGGTGAGTGTCTAGGGATGGGGAGATGCTCCCAGTTGGGATC